ACACACACACACACACACACACACACACACACACACACACACACACACACACACACACGCACACACAATGCATACATGTGGGAGCCAGTCAAGTGCAGCAGTACCTCATGGTAAGAGCTTACACCCGGGTCACAAAATCACAAAGCTAACCAAGAATCAAAACACTGCAATCATCTTAAACCCCAACTCAAACCATATTGATTCAGTCAGCAACATTTCACTTCTCTTTGTTCCAAGCAAACAAAGACTTTGTCAGCACAGACACTGTGTTACAAACACAACTATGATGCAAAAGGTTTTAAATTGATGCAGGAGTCATCGTTGCTATGTCATCCTGGGAAAGCACCTGGCAGGCTGCTGTAATACACACCTATAAGCATGTAGGTGTCAGCTGCTCCCTGCAATGCCATGCTGGAGGTTTTGAAGATAAGTGAGGCACACATTTCCAGGTCATGAGATCCAAGAGTTTGCCAGCAAATAATTGTTAAAATAATACCAAGGATTACTTTGAGTAGTAGCTTTGAGTCCATTCATACGAGCCAGCCTTAAATTCACAGACATCAAAGCTGCTTGTTTCTACACAACCTTTTGAGCAGCCGCTGAGAAAGGGGTGAAACTGAAGCTCACTTTAATGAGACTTATCTTACCGTTAAAAAGCCAGATCAAGACAAAGGACTTTACTTCAGGCACTTATCTGCTTCATTAGGCCTCTGATTTGACATTATGGGAAGTTTTAAAGAAAGAGAAATATTAGAAAAAGCAATGGTCTAGACAAGTGTTGAGGAGTTATTAAAAAAGATAATAATTACTCCTAATAATAATTAATGGCTGGATGTCACAGTAGATTAAATTATGTAATTGTGAGACTCCAGCAACCTGGTCAATAATCTAATTTAGTGCGAAACGGTGCTTAAATTGAGACAAATGCTCAGCAGAAAACATGTAAACAGCAAGCATTTTAGGAACAAAACCCAGCATATACACTGTGGTCACTCCTACTGGGACCGTAATTCAACCACTGACATCATCTCTACTGCTGGTTTCACAGAGAAACCAGACACGCAATTAGAAATGAACGCGGAGTGTTGCTATGGCATCTAAGATGAGCCCGAGCATTATACATACCCCATACGCGAGCAGTTTGTCACAAACAGCGTTTCCCAAAGCCTCTATTTATCTTTCAGCAGCGATTTGAATGAATATAGAATCTATCGGTATCAGTGGGTGAGGTGATCACTTTACAACTTTAGTCACTTTATTGATGTCAGCTCATCAAATCTGAATGTTGTGACATAATCTGCTATTGTGGCGTTCTGCAGTCAGCATTACTGACAGCCATGAACTATTCTCCTGCTGCGCTTAATCAAACTCCACCACTTGTTAACGGACTGGCAATTAAGCAAAACACCCTTAGAGGAACCCTTCCCTTCACCTCCTCTAGCTGCTTGGCAATTTATCACAGCAGGTCTGCATACTCCTGCTGGCTGTAAGGAGCAGGTACTGTACCGATCAGTGCCATTTGAGGCTTGGGCTCTGGCCACTGTGTGCACGCAGAGCCGAGCACAGACCGATGACACAGCGGAGATCCGTGGGGACGAGGGACACTTCAAGGCAGGATAAGGCATGTTGTTTGTGTTTGTTTCCTCTCCAGTGCTTTTGGACTATGGCTGCACCTGCTCTCGCTCTATGTTTAAAACCCATATGACTACATGGCACAACATGAGCCGGAAAATACCGCAGAGAGCACAGACATAATGAGATGTCTCACACAGCTGGCCGAACGGTCCTCACACAATCATCCAGGGCATTGATTTTATGGGTTACACAACACTGATATAAAAACAGGACATCTTCAAGACAAATTGTTGAAGAAATCCAGCTGCTCTGCAGAATTGCTATTACTGCCATGCTAAAAATATTCAGACTGCAGCTTTTACACAAGAAATGACTTGTTTTAGATTTCAATTTGAAAAGTGATGTTGAAAACACTATTTCAAAGCTGAATCATTAAGAAAGTTTAATGGTGAAAAAAATGATTTCTACAAGAGCTCAGTTTGGTATGTCAAAGAAAAGAGAAACTAAATTTAATTTCCAAAACATGATCCATGGATAGGGGATTGCAGAAGTCCCAAAAGAGTTTTTTGTGGTTCCCCTCTGGGTTAAAGATCACTTTGCAGGAGTCACAATGAATAAAGCTGCTTCGCTCACACAAAGAGATCCAGGAGCAGCTTCAAAGGACAGGCCTCACTGAATATTCAAAGAGCGAACAAGACGAGGACGTCAAACATGCCCGTCTCTTTGCACAGATTTGCTATTATGGAAAGACGGAGCACGAAGACAAAGACGGTGGGCAGTAATCACCCAGCAGGTCTATCATTCTTTATGATGAGCTGAAAGAGAACTACTTCATCAAGTTGTGGCATTATGGATGGACAGTTAGACTGCGCTGTGTGAGTATCTCAGCAGATATACTTCAGAGAAGGTGGTTTCATAAAGATAAGCACATAAAATGCATATGCACTAAAAATTTTGCACCAGAATGCAGCATAAATGTAACAACAATACTAAAAGTGCATTTTCTATTCAATTGTGATTAAGAGATTTAATAAAGTAGTAGCTGTGTCATCTACACTGACTGATTCTTCTGGAGGTTTCTTCCTGTTAAAAGGTGTTTTTCCTTCCTACTATTGCCAAGTACGTGCTCATAGGGGGTGCGCGAATTGTTGGGGATTTCTCTGTATTACTGTAGGTCTTTATCTTTCCCATGTACTGCAGGATGCCTTGATGCAACTGTTATTGTGATTTGGTGCCATATAAATTAACTTGAGGGATTTTAGGGAGTCACTGTGGTCCTGTGTCAGTCAAAAGATGTAGAGTGTAATTAAGCAGCCAAGCTCAGTTCTTAGTAGGAACTGTGTGTCAAGCACCATATAGCTTCAGGATCACTGCTTCATTTAGCACTGACAGAGTAACTGAACAGGAACACTGGCCAGATGTCTCTCGTGCCACAGCAGCCTCAGTCATGGTGGCCGGCTGCTAGCTAAACTTACTGCTCAGCTATAAAAACACATTGCACACATAACAGCCAGCGCCACTAACTTAACATCTTGAAGGAGAATTTTTCTGTCACAAATCATAGTCCAGGAGTCCATGACACTTGGAACACTACAATCCTTTTTTCAGCATCTTTATTTTGAGAAATGATACTGCAGATTTAATTTAATTTAATTTGCATTAAATCAACAGCAACTGTTTCTGTAACATGAAATGACTTCATGTGTCATATAAACCCATTTGACTGGGTAAAAACTTTGATGATGACAGCACTTTTTTCATTTGGCCTAAATAAAAGAAAAGAAGAAAAACCTTTAAAAAGCATATGGTTAATAGTTTACATAATGTTGTTCTGTATCGAGTGAAACACAAAGCATCTGCAGTACAGCAACTATGCAAAGATGTACTTTCACTGCTTGGAAACATACACATATTTGCCCTCTAAGATACGCAGCTACCTTGAAATCTTAGCTTCTTCCTCCTGTTTTGTTTTCCATGTTTTATTCTCAACTTCATTTTTGCGTCTCCTTTTGTAACTTGTAATAAAATTTAGACTTAATTTCACGAGTTTCAGTTTTCCTGTTCTCGTCTGTTCACTGTGTTGTTAAGCCTACACCTCCATGTTCCCTCATTTTGTTACGTCCTGTCTTATTTTGGTAGCTCCTGTTTCTTTTCTCTTGTTCCTCTGTCTCGTCATCTTGTGTCTCATAGTTGGTGTTCTATTGTAGCTCTCCACTACATTATGTATTCCATATGTATGTAGTGG